ATATATATATATATATATATATATATATATATATATAAAACAGAATTGAAAATATGTCGATCTCTAAATACCAATTGTTCGTGAGGGAATCGTGAAAAATGAAAAGCTACATTTTGATTAGTTGTAAGAATATAAGACTGATTTATTCCGTAGATGTAAACTTATATACAAAAGATGACGTATATGTTCAGACCATGATCGTCGGAAAAAATCTCACCGCCACGTAGAAACAGTGCCGATAGAAAAGAACTAACGGAGACGCAACTAGACGAAGCGGTACGGCAGTGAACGGTGTGTTTTAGGAAAAGGTGTAGCAATAACAATATCAATAGTAATAGTAATTTGGATCGAGCATAACTGCTTAGAAGCACTTGCGGTGAACGATGCCAGGTCCGGACTCGTCGTACTCCTGCTTGGAGATCCACATCTGCTGGAAGGTGGACAGGGAAGCCAGGATAGATCCACCGATCCATACGGAGTATTTCCTCTCGGGGGGAGCGATGATCTTGATCTTGATGGTCGACGGGGCCAGAGCAGTGATCTCCTTCTGCATACGGTCGGCAATACCGGGGTACATGGTGGTACCACCAGAGAGTACGTTGTTGGCGTACAGATCCTTACGGATGTCGACGTCGCACTTCATGATGGAGTTGTACACGGTCTCGTGGATACCGCAGGATTCCATGCCCAGGAAGGACGGTTGGAACAGAGCTTCTGGGCAACGGAACCTCTCGTTACCGATGGTGATGACCTGTCCGTCGGGCAACTCGTAGCTCTTCTCGAGGGAGGTGCTGGCAGCTGCGGTGGCCATTTCCTGTTCGAAGTCCAGGGCAACGTAGCAAAGTTTCTCCTTGATGTCACGGACGATTTCTCGCTCGGCCGTGGTGGTGAAGCTGTAGCCTCTCTCGGTAAGGATCTTCATGAGGTAGTCGGTCAAATCGCGACCGGCCAAGTCCAGACGAAGGATGGCGTGAGGAAGGGCGTAACCTTCGTAGATGGGTACGGTGTGAGAGACACCGTCTCCGGAGTCCAAGACGATACCGGTGGTACGACCGGAGGCGTACAGGGACAGCACGGCCTGGATGGCGACGTACATGGCCGGGCTGTTGAAGGTTTCGAACATGATCTGGGTCATCTTTTCGCGGTTAGCTTTCGGGTTCAGGGGAGCCTCGGTGAGGAGGACTGGATGTTCCTCAGGAGCAACGCGCAATTCGTTGTAGAAGGTGTGATGCCAGATCTTCTCCATGTCATCCCAATTGGTAATGATACCATGTTCTATAGGATACTTTAAGGTGAGTATACCTCTTTTACTTTGGGCCTCGTCTCCTACGTAGCTGTCTTTTTGACCCATACCGACCATCACACCCTGGAATGATAATTCGAAGTATTAGCATACAGGATATTAAAGAAATGATGTTTTTAATAGAAATTAAGGTGATTTCCCAAATTTTTCGTACCTGATGACGTGGCCGGCCAACGATGCTGGGGAAGACAGCACGCGGTGCGTCATCTCCAGCGAATCCCGCCTTGCACATTCCGGACCCATTGTCCACGACTAGTGCCGCAACATCATCATCACACATCTTGGTTAATTATTAGTGTTACCTTCTGCGAAAATGACAAAGAAATATAAGAATTCGTACTCCCTGTTTGTTTTCAAGCGAACTTGTGCAGTCATTAGTTAAGCGTTAGGAATTTTCGTTTCCTCATAAACTACAATTACAACATTTGCCATTTTTAAAACGGCGTAGAAAATAATGTTACGGAAGATGAAAGAACAGAGGATACTAAAAAAATTACTTCAGTTGATTTAAACTGTTTGTTATAATAATTAGTCCAATTACGTTAGTACTATCTAATTGTTAATGAAAAACTTTGCCAAATTATTAATCATCGTTTCGAGAGGTAGTATCTAATCTTAAGCTTAAATCGGACAGAAATTGCCTGCTACTAAAATCAGCAGTAGCAACGAATAATAAACAAAAGAAGAAAGAAAAAAAAAGAAGAAGGAAAGCACAAGCATGGTTATCACATTCTTCAGAACGTCACTTCACAATCATATTACGACGACAATGCAATCCTGGACGTGCGTTCGGCCCTCGTACACTCTTTCTCGGCAAGGTCGATGCCGATTCACTGAAACGACGCGAATTATATATACCAGTAAATACACCTTACGCGTTTCTAACGCACTGATTCTTGTTCTCCAGGGCACGAGGACCGAAGCGAGTAAGTACGACGCGAGCAACCCTCGTCCTCGATCCGAAGAAGCGATCGAGAAGGTAGTAACACACTGGTTGCACGCTGTTAGCTGATGCAAACTAACTTGGGACACTGGTTCCAATTTACCGTTCGCTAATGAGTCGAGAGATCGGCAATGGTCGCTTTGGGGCGTACGTCGTGCAAGAGACCGAGAGCGGCGAGTGGCACAGTGCCGGCTCTGTGGGGTCCCTTTATCCATATCGGTTCGCAGCCGAAAATAGCGATCCGCCCCTTAGATGGAAATCTATCGTGCATTAACACTCGTCTCGACCCGCCGCCACCGCCTAGTCCTTAGCCGCCCTAACCGTGACGCCGAGAGGGAGAGACGCCGTGCGTCGCGACGAGGCGGCGGCCGACGGCCCCCCAATCCAAATAAGGACTCGTCACGCGCCAGGGCCGTCTCCCGTTGGGTGCTTCTTCGGCCGAAGGTCGAAGGGCACCGCGCCGTTCAACTCGATTCAACACCCTTCAATTTCTGGACGTCCCGCCACGTTCGTCTCAATCAAAAGGTAGAGACGTACCACAGTTTCGCACATCTCGGCTGGAGTTCGAATCTTATCGATTTCATTTTTCATCGTGTCAGAGATGTTCCAATGTTTCTCCGTGTTCTTGAGTATTTGCTTTTCAAGTTAATCTATGTCACGGAGGCTGTAAAGGAACAACGATTTAAAAATGGCGAAAGAGAAGGGGAACTTGAACAGTTCTCTTCAAATTCGAAATCGGGGATTGAATCGGGTGTCTGAATTAATTGAAAACTAATAACTGTAATTGCTTGCAAATGATATAAATTATAAAGTAGATTTTGGTAAAGATTATGGACCTTGGGATTCTATTGTTCTTTGAATGAAGTTTCGAAGTTTAGATCGCTGCGTGATCGGTGCGGCTTTTAATAGACACGAAGTTTATGAGGTTCGGATAAAGTGTGTATATTATGAAAGGGAAGATCTAACAGAGTGGATCTCAATGTTTGCGTAAAATAGTAAACGAACGTTTATTAATTGATTAACGTTCCACAAAGCTATAAGCGTAATTTGCAAAGTAATGCAAATTTAAGTATTGTCTCTTTAAAACAAACTGATCATTCCAACTATTAATCCTCATTAACGCTTAATCTCTCTCTGATATAATAATTTACCTATTTCTTTAGAATATTCGACTATTTTAATTCAACTGCTCTACTCTATATGATTCGCAATGTATACTATTAAGATACCTTATGTTTTAATATTCATTACAATTTTACGAAGCTTGTTTTTTTGTAAATAAAGAGAAAGCATCTGAACGCGATGAAAAAGTGAGGAGAACAATCTTTCAAATCTCCATGCTGGAGAAAGACGATTTTCGATTAATAAAAAACGACTGGAATTCCTGGATATCACTCCAATTCAAGGCTTTGTGCACTTTGTTTCGCGGCTGTCGTTCATCATCATAAAATGTACACGTATGTGACTTTGCATGATGATGCAGCGTGCCAACGATAATAATCTGGATCTAGAGCCGAGTCCAGAGATTTTCGAATGCTAAACGATCCGAATTTTACGATCGCTCGCGTGATGACTCGATCCACCGGTCGATGAAAAGCATATAGAATCGAGTAATTAGACGATTAGGCTGCTTTCTATAATTGGGAGTGCACGGGGCGACCACGTAGCTCGAGCCACCGCCGATCCCCTCCACCTTTTTGCAAGAGGCCACAGTCGAACCGTGCGACCGATTCGCAGATTCGCATTGCTGAGTTTCTACCCCGAAACGGCACGTCCGTTATCGCAAACGATAACTCTCTCTCACACGGAATCCCTTTATATACGTATAAACATGGTGACTCGATCGATCGGCCGACAGTTCGCAAGTTTCGTGACCTTTCGTGTCTGGAAGATGACGATCGGCGGAATGTTCGAAGGTGATGCGATTTTCATTTATACGCGAACGTCAAGAAAATTCAAGGGGGGGGAGAGGGGGCTTGCTAACACAGACAAACGATACTTGTCAGATCTTTGAAACTAACAATGTAGTGAAAAGTCAGGTGTAGGCCCTGATTTATTATATACGCGGTACGAATCTCTCTCGTTTTTCCTGAAAAATGAATGAACTTGGAGAAAATAGACGAGCCTGTCCCTCGATTAAATTACAACGACTTTGAATTAAATTATCAGTAATATGACAATTTTTGTCAATTGCAGTTGTACAAATTTTTTCATGCAAGAATTTTGAAGGAACAAAACCTTACCTTTCATGCATGTATACTTGACGCGTATGATACAAAAAGTTTCCACCGCGTATAGATATAGAGTAGTAAATTGAAAAAAAAAAAAAAAATGTTAATAGCTGCACGACAAAATTATTGTACTACTTTTTAGATGTAAAAATATTTGAACTATCTTCTGTATAATTGTAACGAGTAACTTATCACAGCGTGACAAATAAAAATTTGCAGGTGCTATGGTGCGAAAAACACAAATAGGACAAGCACTCGGTGTGTGGACTACACTAAAGGAGAAAGCCAGCAAGAGGGAATGTGTTTCTAGATGAGCGTGCGTCTATCCTTAATAAATTGGCGACGAAACTTGCGATAACTTAAAGAAGTTTGGATAACCCGGTAATTTTAATAGAAGCAATCAATTTAATCCCTCGCATAATTCAGCCCCATGCATGGTAGATCATGTGTATTACTACCCGTCCCAATATGTTGTTTAAACAAACGTTCGTAGAGTTTTATACGAGAATTTTAATAAACAAATTTTTTTCCTAGATCCCGTTAGTATTTAAACCCGTTACCCCTACTTTTTATCTAGTCTTCTTTATTTTTGAAGTATGCAAAATTTTAATTTTGTACAGCCATCAATGCAAATGTACAGTAATTGATGGCTTGTTTCTTTAATTCAATCTTAATATTTGCAGTATCCCATTGCAAATGCACGACATTAATAAGAAATGATCCAATCGTAACATAATTAATCGTAATACGGTATGAAATATCGTTTCGATTAGAAGATAGAAGTATTTCTTCGATTTGATAGTCAAGAGATTAAACTCTTCTTGATTGAGAAATAGTATTTAAAATATATATACATATATACATACATACATATATATATATATATATATATATATATATATATAT